AAGTACGCTCGACTTCGGGAAACTGGAGAAACCGATTTCGGGATTCAATCCAAGGGCTGCCGTTTTAATCCCATGACTCCGCTTTTAAAACGCGAAGAGGCAGCAGAACGAGAAATTAGAGAAATTCCTTTCAACCGATTTTTTTCAAGCCGAAAGAGAAGGAAAGTTCCGGTGTGGCAGGAAAGCTTTTGGGTGCTATAAAAGCAGTTTAGTTTGAAAGAAAGAAAGAGAGAGAGAGAGAGAGAGAAAAGAGAGAGAGAGAAAGAAAGAGAGAGAAAGAGAGAAAAGAAAGAGAGAGAGAGAGAGAGAGAAAGAAAGAAAGAAAGAAAGAAAGAAAGAGGGAGAGAAAAGAAAGAAAGAAAGAAAGTAAAAGAAAGACAGAAGAGAGAGAGAGAGAAAAAAGAAAGCAAGAGAAAGAAAGAAAGAGGGAGAGAGAGAGAAAGAAAGAAAGAAAGAAAGAAAGAAAGAAAGAAAGAAAGAAAGAAGAAAGAAAGGAAGGAAGAAGAAAGAAAGGAAGGAAGGAAGGAAGGAAGGCGAAGAGGAGAAAGAGTTTGTTCGGGCCATGGCTACAGATTTGCTGGCTGGGGTCCAAATCGGTAGGTTTCCCTTTCTCTCCGTTATACCCCGAGGTAGAAGCAGCGTCAGGGACTCTGTTAGGACATCAAAGCCACGGGGGACAATCAACACTCGTTGCTCGTCCCCGCACTTTCCTGACACAGAGGCAGCTGTTTCTTTTATTTCAGTGTCACCTACACCTTTAAATTCTGTTTCGTGTCAACAGATCTTTATCAGCAAGAGATTTGTCTCTCCTTTTTTTTTCTTTTAGGAAACGAGTCTGGGGGTTTGCAGCCCCTTACTATTCCCATTACCCTCAAAGGCAATAAAGCAAAATCCTCTCGAAAAAATAAAATTAAACACACGGGTCGCTAAAACAAACAAACAAAACAACCCTGAGTCAACCAACTCTGGAATGCATAAACTTGATTGATTGCTTGAATGGAGAAATAAAGGAATAAATAGGGGACATACAGACTGCAGGCTACTCTAGAATGGGCAACAGAGCCAACAACATTGAAAATAGGAGTAAAAGAAAGGCTGAGATTGTGGCCCCCTCCTAAACATTCTTAATATTAGAAGTTCCATTCAACATTCATGAAGCCATCCACCCTGACTTAATTTGGCCCCATTTGATCTCTGCAAAATTAACCTTAGTCTAAAAGCCTACATTCTTATTGCACCAAATATTGCACCTAAATGTTTCTGCACTACTGTATCAAAAGTACAGCTTTACTGTTGTATCAATATCTCATGAACGAGGACAGGATTATATCTCTATAGCCATAATTTGCTTTTAGCCAAGACTGCCTGGTCTCAGGATTACCTCACCCACCCCCTTTCCTTCACTGTCCAGTTTTAAGGTTGCAATCCTATATCCCAAATTGTTTGTATTTTCCATGTAATCCAGTCCAGGGGAAGGTAACTAGCTTTTGGAGACACCCTGAAGATAATTCCCATCAGCCTCACCTGGATGGACAATGGTGAGGCATACTGGGAGTTTATGACATCTGAAGTGCCCATTCCCAGAAATTGAGATACGGAAGATTGGGGGAGTCGAATCACTTTATTTAATTAGTTACACTTTGTTTCTAAACGAATTACCTTTTTACAGTACCAGGATTGTGTGTCCAATCACACTTGGCCAATAAAGAATTCTATTCTATTCTATTCTATTCTATTCTATTCTATTCTATTCTATTCTATTCTATTCCATTCCATTCCATTCCATTCCATTCCATTCCATTCGTGGAGATTCGGATTGAAAATGTAATTTCACTACTAAGTTTGATTTTTTAACCACTCACATTCTGGTTTTGATCAGGCTTCTGTCTAAGATGTGGTGGAAATCCACCTACAGTACCATGGTCAACTGACCATTTACTGCCCATCCAAAACATTGATGTAATAGAATAAGCCACGGTTAACTTCATAATGGGTGAAACACAGCATGCCAACACAGCTACGCTCTGATTAACTTACTTGATAGTATTGTTATGAGGACAGTTTGATGAGAATGAATATTTCTTTTAATATATTCCCCATCTTTCTGCAAAAAAAAAAAAAAAAAAGATATAAGCCTCTCCTAGTGAAGAACAGAGCTCTCTATATGAATTACAGGGTAGGATGGGGAAAGGAATCCATCTTTAAAAAGCTGTTGGGGGTGTGTGTGTACAATCTAGCTAGATCAATGTGAGGTTACAGCCAGTGGTGGGTTTCAATTTTTTTTACTACCAGTTCTGTGGAAGTGGCATGGTGGGCATGGCATGGCTTGGTGGGCATGGCAGGGGAAGGTTACTGCAAAATCCCCATTTCCTCCTGATCAGCTGGGACTCAGGAGGCAGAGAATAGATAGGGGTGGGGCCAGTCAGAATTTTTACTACCGGTTCTCCGAATTACTCAAAATTTCTGCTACCGGTTCTCCAGAACTGGTCAGAACCTGCTGAAACCCACCTCTGGTTACAGCCTATTTCCATCTTGGTCCTAGGCCCACTTTAAGCATACTTTAGGCACTTTCTAGAGCAGACACTGCCAAGAAAGGGCTTGCCTACGTTTGGAGCTTAGCCCAGGTCAGGGCTGAGTTGCAGTTGATTATTAGCTGTGTTGTAACATCTGCGCTGCAAGTATCTGGAAATGGAGCTATTTCTTTCTCCTTTCCCCGCATTGCTCAGGTTAAGTTCTACTAGTTTGGGGAAAGCACAAAGGCTGCTGAAACAACTTAAGAATTTGGGAAAGGGAAGGGATTGGGGAAAGACAGACATCTACTTTCCGGATGCTCAAGGACTGAATCTTGCCCAAGTCTGCAGCTTTCACTTTTAAATTCAAACAGGCCTCAAAGTCCCTTTTTGGTTGGGAAGATGGAGAGGAAGCATTCAGAGAGAGCTTTAGCTAATGAACTCAGCAAGTTGTTTTCTCCTTCCAGAGTTCTGGTTCTGGTCGGCCCGTGGATGCGATTCCATGAGCGTTCTTGTTCCACTGACCCATTCTTTTTCTGCTTCGACCGCTAGGCAGCACTTCCAACAATATTGCCCACAAGCTTGGAAAAATGCTTGGAGACATAGGCGCCCCTTCCTGGGAGCTAGAAGCTGGTGTCCCCCCCCCCCCGCAGAATAGCTAGCCCTCCGCCTGTTGGGCTGGAAAACATACTCCAAAGTCATCCGTCTTCCTTCTGGTTTTGCTTTAAGGGAATGAGCTTAGCAGGCTGACTGCATTCCCATGACATGCCATATCCATGGTTAACTGACCCATAAAGGTTTGCTCAATTAACCCAATTTTCTGGAAGGACCTGAATCATAAACTCATCACATGGGCTGGGTTGGCACAACAGGCAGAGTTGCAATGGAACTGGCTAATTTGCGCCTTCCTTGTATTGTCAACCACGGACAAGCAAACCTGCTCTGGGATAAAAATAAACACGGGCAAGCAAAACTTCAGAGTATCAGGCGGCAGCATCGGGATATATATATATATCATAGCCCAAGAATTAGGGAAGTGAAGATTGGTGGCCCTTTAAACATCGCTGAACTGAAACTCCCAGCTGGGAGTTACGAAGAACAGGAGCTGCTCTCGCGCCCACCGCGTCACTCCCAATCCCCCCCGAGCATTGTGGTCTCAGTTAAACCGTGGTTAGAATAAGGCCACGCTCGCGAAGTTATGCACCCTGGATGCTCCCGCAACTTTTAGCCAGTTGGGGTTTACTTCTCTGTGCGTGAACTGGATTCATACAGCACCCTAAGCCCAAACTCAGCAAACCAGACCAAGACTTCGGGAGGAAGCTGTGTCTCCCACGTCGTTGAGCTAATCAGCCAGGGAGGGCATTCCCGAGGCAGCCTTTACACCTTCTCTGAGAAGACACCTGGGGAGTTAAGGTGGCCCGCAAAAACCACTGGGGCAGGAAATACAAGGGGTCCTCCCGGACGCGAAGGGGTTGGTGGTGGTCTTCAGAATGGAAGGAATTTGGGGGAAGCCCTTCTGGCCTGCTCTTCTCCCTCGGATCCGCTCCCCCATCGCAGGCTCCGAGGTGCAGGTCTGCGGGTAAAACACGCCGGTCGTTGAAGGGGAACCCCTTCAGGAAGATGATACTTCCGGTCTCCTAAACTAACTGACAAAAGCCTTGGTAGTACAGTGGTCTAAAGCACCCTGTTATTAAGACCAGCTGCCTGCCTGCAGGTTCGAATCTCACCAGGCTCAAGGTTGACTCAGCCTTCCATCCTTTCTAAGGTAGGTAAATTGAGGACCCAGTTTGTGGGGGCAATAAGCTGACTTTGTATAAATATACAAAAGGATGAAGGCTATTGCTGAGCACATTGTAAGCCGCCCTGAATCTCCGGAGAAGGGCGGCATATAAATCAAATAATAAAAAAAAAAACAATCCCCCCACGCCCGATACGGCGAGGGAGGGTACTTCTCTTCCTGCTCCCCTCTGCAATAGCCGGTTTCGGCTGCTGCTCCGGGGGTGGGAGGTGGGGAGATCTGATTTTTCTCTCTCCGGAGTTGGGTTCTCGAAGTGGAAACGGCCAAGCAGGCCTTCGCCGATGCAAACCTGGACCCACAGAGAACCTCGAACGAATCCTCCTTTATTCTCAATCGGTTCCACCTGAACAGAAGGGATTTGCTGAACCTGGTCCATTGAAAGAGGAGCGAGGCGTACAGCGGTCTCCTCTGGATTCGAAGGGGGTGGGGGTGGGAAACGCAGGGCAGAGTAGAAAGCCCCCCCACCCGACTTCGCGCGTCTATCTCCATGTGGTGCTCGAGGCATAAGCGATTGAAATGTTGGGAGGGGGTGAGGGGGCTGCGCGAGTTAACTTTATCCATTCGCCGAATCGCTTCGCTAGATTGGTAGCCAGAACACGGTCACGTCTTCTTTTTCTTAAAGCGGGGGCAGGAGAATGCTACCGACCCCAAATCCTAGGGAAATGTAGGATCACACCCAGCTCCATACTTACCTGCCAGTAAATAGAGCCAGGGATTTACTGTTAAGCTCCAGGCGAGTAATTTTCGGTTCTACCAGCGTTATTTCGATCGCCATTTAGTTGGCGCCAAGCTCCGGAAGCAGACCTAGCCAGCGATCGATCGATCGATCTCGAACGTTTATTCGCCTTGTCAGGTGGAATAATAATGACAACTGCGGGCGTTTAAGTTACTATCCGAGGTTTCCCTTCCTCACGCTTTTTCCTCTTCTGGGCATCCGCCAGCTTCAACAGCAGATGTAAGGTCCTCGGGGCAGGATCTCCGCCCCTTTGTAAGCAACCTGCGCGGATCTCCTGCGGGATCCGAAGAGCCGCAGCTCCACTGAGCTCGGCTCCCTGCCTTTCCAGCGGGGAAAGCAGACTGAACAAGCAGCGGCGGGGTTTTTTGGGGGGGAGAGGTCTCTCGGGCTTCGGGCTCCCCAGGAGGAAGTCGAGCCGAGCCCCTACCTGCTTGCGGGAAGCCAAACAGGAAAGGGAATTGGCGTGGCCGGCCTGCCGGCGCTCCAACTCGGAGCGAGCGGCTTGCGAGAAATGGAAAGAAGCGGATCGCCTCAAAGGAAGTCAGGGATGGCTCTAATTGAGCGTGGAGTAGTTAATTGCGCGGCCGGAGAAGCGGCTGGAAGGAGTCCAACGGCTCCGCCGTCTCACCTTTCCGGAGCTCAGCCGGGAAGGGGCAAGGCTGGCTCCCTCCCTCTAGTCCAGCCCAACAGCGCCCTCACCTCGCCCAGCTCCCCGGTGCAAAAACTGCCGCGGGGCCCCCAATGCTCCAAATTCCTTGGAAGGTCGCTCCCGAATAAGTAACGAGTGGGGAGGGCGCGCTCTTTCCCTCCTAGACATCACAAACACCCCGGAGAGAAAGTATCTTCCACGCGGGCCTCTCAAATCTGAAGGCCTCCTTTGGAGGAGTCACCAATTGGGACAAGGAGGCGAAAGACAAGAGAGAGGAAGAGCCCATTCGAAACCTGCCCACGACACACGTGTCTACGCCTGTGGGGGCGGCGTGAAAGAGAGGAGGGGGAGAGGGAAAGCAAGTGAGCAAGAAATCTAAGTTTTCCTCAAGCTGAAGAACTTCCCTTTTCAGTAAAAAAATAAATAAATAAAATAAATAACAGCCGAAGTGGAAATTACTTTAAGTGAGGGGAACATGGACCTAGAAATGGTGGAATTACTAAGTGGGCAGCGCCGCTTATAAAAGTAACCCATTACACACACCCTGAGTTTAAGTTCCTAAAAGTTCTCGTTGATCGACCTGATTTTGCTGGCTTTCCTAGCAATGAAAGCCCGCCTAGCAATGAAAAATGCACCTCTCTTCAAAGTAAACGAGTGGGGAACGGGGACGAATTGTACTCCATTTTCCCGGCAACCCCATTCCTGAATATGGATTTGCGATGTTGTTGGGTTTTTTCCCCCCTTTCGTTCCCCTAGGACTCTCAGAGAAAGTGGCTGCGGGGCAGAAGCGGGAGAATGCTTTTTTTTCTCTCTGCTCGCCTGTTTGCTGAAAAAAAAACCTGGAGTTTGACTGAAAGCTGTTTTTACAGCAGCTTTGCAGCAGCAGAGAAATAGGAAGCCGAGGAGGAGGAGAAGCCCAAATTTCAGATCAGTTTTAGATCTACCTGTGAGTAAACCTGGTGAGGAGGAGACTATGTGGGAACCTCGCACTTAAGGCCTCCGCCGTATCTCGAAAAAGCCACTTATTCTTGAGAAAGGCTGCCACACGGAATCCATCGCAGCATCTCCCGGCAAATGGGCCTTTTCCCATTTGAGAAGAGGCGCGCTGTCTGAGTGCCTGCACACACTCTCACACACACGTGTACCTGAAACCTGCTCCCATTTCCTCCGAAAGGAAAAGGCGCTGACCTTATTCTCCAAGGCGACCCGAGGTGCTCTCCGAAAGCCCCGGGAAGGCAACGCGCGGCGGCGCGATGGCTCCCGACAACAAGGCCCGTAGCTTGGCTTCCTAAACGCAACCAGGGGATTTGCGAAGAGACCAAGGAAAGGCAGCAAAATTAGGCCGGGTCAAGGTCCACGCTTCGACTCGAATTGCCCGGATCCCTTTTCCTTCGCCTCGGAATCGAGGTGGGGACCGAATTTTACACACGGTTAGAAATCAAAAGGGCCAATTGGTTATTTAATCTTACCCACTCGGTGGAATATATTTCGTCGATGAAATCGTACGTTTTCCATCGATTGCCTCCCTCCCCTCCCTTCTGCTTCTGCAGACGGTCACTTTTTATCTCTCTTTGACCCAGAGAGGTTCGAGGTCAAAGCAACTTTGGAAGAAACGGTCGAACAATAGGAAGTCGCCGCACACGAGAGTTTCTGATTTGAGAGGGCGGCAACGGATGGAGCAGTCGGAGGGAAAAACAGTTCAAAACCGAAGGAAGCAAAATCGCAGAGCCAACTTGCGGCTGTGCCCGCCCATCTTTTTTTATTTCTTAATGTGCCCACGCGAGTTTTCGTTCCTCCGCGAAGCCACAGACACATTCTGGAGGATTTGAGAGTCCTTCACCCGCATTAAATCTTATTTGCAAACCGAGACCGAGCCGTATCGTTTGCAAACTAAGGGAGACGCAAAAAACACTAGAGAGAGAAGCGACAAGGCGAAGATTTAAGGCGTACCGAGGATGCACCTGCTTGGATTCGGGCCCATGAAGGGCTAAGATATCTGCCGGAGTAGCCCAAAGTCAAGTCGGAAGCCTCCCAAAGAATAGCTGACCCGTTTAATCATGCAAGCGGCTAAACGGAAGGCCTAGCTTTTCAGCTCCGCAGATCTGACATTCTGACATCTCTGATTTGTTCAGGCCTAGCAATATCAAGCCATTGGAGAGCAATCATCACCATCGGACAGAAACATCTTGTAAATACCAGAACTGGAGCCCTCTTGGAAGACCCCCTGTGGAGAAGTTAAACCAAGCGCTGGCCCTCTTATTGCAAAAAAAGAAAGAAAGAAAGAAAGAAAGAAAGAAAGAAAGAAAGAAAGAAAGAAAGAAAGAAAGAAAGAAAGAAAGAAAGAAAGAAAGAAAGAAAGAAAGAAAGAAAGATCTTAATAGACTCCTGGTCCTCCCACCTGAAAACAAAATCAAGGTAGATCTATAAGTGGGCTTAAAACTTAGGGCTGTCTAAATAACCGTGCTGAAATCGGAGCAATTTCCACCTTAACCCTTTGCAAACCCAGACCCCGCGAATAGCAAATAACATACCAGTTCCCCTGGCACATCACCCCGCTTTCTATTACACTTGGAAGACCCTCGCAGATATTTCGAAAGAGATCTCCCGCTCCCAGATTTTTAGGATCCGGCCTCCTGCTTCACCCTCTCCTCCCCTCATAGAACAACCGGGCAGAATGTGGGGTTGCCTGGCTATATATTCGGGCAATCCCTTTGGCCAGGGGAAGGAACAGTGTCCGCCTTCTCCCGGCGGGCATTTCAAGCAGCTAGAAAGAAACCTGGAAAAGGTCTTTGCTGTTCTCCTTTCTGGGGACGCCCTTCAACATCAGGCGGCATTTCAGGAGCAAAACCCGCCTGGCTGCGAGCGACTGTAGTTCTGCCAACCAGGAAAACCACCCAGAGAGACCGAAGCATGCGAGACTAATCTCAAGGGACGAAGTTCTGGCAACGGGCTCCTTTCAAAAGAGAGCGCCGGGCTTGGATCAGCGCTCACTCGTTGCGCCTTTTTTTCCCCCCTTCTCCTTCCCTGCTGGCGAACGGCAAAGGCCAAGCCTAACGCACTCCGCGGTACTTTCCCTTGCAAGTTTCCCTTGGGATCATTCCTTCTCTTTCCCCCCCACCACCACCCCTCCTCGCCATTTTTTGGAGAGCAAACCCCCATTGATCTCAAGGATGAGAAGGGCTTCGGAGGAGAGCGCGGGTCCGAGAGCCGAGCGGGAGGAACCAGGAGAAAGGGGCTATTACGGGACGGGGGGGCCCGCTCAACCGCTGTCCTTCCAAGCAGCAAGGATCAGAGCATCCCGACAACGGGATCGGGGAGGGAGACTCAACCCGCAAAGAGGCCGGTTAGAGATGCGCTGCGCCCATTTCCCCCAACAGATGGGCCGGAGAGGGGGGGGAGGGTGCGTGGGAGAGAGGATAAGGATGTCTGGATGTATATTTACCTAATCTTTGATCTTTGATCCCCCCTGGTCCGCAGACAAGTACAAAGATCTTCCTGGAACTCAACTGTGGAGCTGCCCCGACTGGGCAGAAGATCCTAAGGCAGGCAGGCAGGCAGGCGGGTGGGAAGGGAGGGAGGGAGGGAGAAAGAGGGTCGGGACCAGCGAGGAAAAGGACGCGCCAGGTGCCGAAGAGGTCGCTTTTCTCCCCCCCTCTCGCCAGGGCCAGGCGAGAGCGAAGGCGCCTCTGAGCACGCGAGCGCCGACTGAGCGGATCCCTTCCCTCGGCCGCCTCCTTATTTCAATCCCCTGCCTGCCGGACTCCCTCCCTCTTTCCCCCCCCCTCCTCTCCCCTCCCAGCTCGCCTTCCCCACCCTTGGGCATGCGCACTGGCGGGAGGAAAAAGTTTCGCTCACTTTTGCGGCTCAGATCCCGGTGGCGGCCCGCCCCGCCTGACCTCGCTCGGGTGGCAGCGCTCCCGACCCCGCCTCCGCCGAGGCCCCGAGGGGGATCAAAGACCGCAGGGGAGTGGGGGGGGGGGCGAAAGTCAAGAGCACCTTCTCCGACAAGCAGGGGGGTCCCTCCTATCCCCGAGACGATCCCGGAAACTATCCTGACTCTTCCCGTATCTCCTGGAAATGGAAAAACCGCTTTTTTCGCATCGCTCACCTTTTTTTTACCCCCCCCCTCCGCTGGAATTGGATGCCCTCTCCCAAAGGATCGCCGTGGCACACCTCCACCTCGGTTAATGCCGAGGAAGCGAAGCTGCAAGTTGGAATCGGATCTTTCTAAAATAAAGATCCCGTTTCTCCTCTTCGAAAAACTAAATCACCCCGCACCCCAGGAATAGCTTTTCTGTTCTTCTGCTTTTTGACGTTTTCGGGATTGTCCCTCTACCTACAATCGAGTGGGTCACGTTTCTTTTGAGCGAGATCCTTTCCATCCACTAGAGCTTAAAAAAAAAAGAAAAAAAAGAAAGATTTAGGGTGGGCGAATGGAGAGAAAGCGATCCCGCTCTGCATTACTCCCTTTTGAAGTGCGATTCCATCCTTCCATGATCCCAACCCTAACTCAGCAGCGTTGCTCTTTTACCGGCGGTGGGCCCCGGATTTGCCCTTCCTTCGGACTGGAATCTGGATTTTCCCCAAGACTGGAAACCGGGATATATTCCAGTATCTCAGCCCACGTGTCCTCTTCCCCCGCATAGCCGCTGAAATCGCCGGTTCAAGGA